TATAGTCGTTTAATAGCCTTTTGTGCTCTCTCTCCATTTGGTGATCTTAATTATTTCAAAAGATTATTGTCTCACATGCATGACCCAAATGCGTTTTCTTGGAATATAGTCATTAGAGCCTTTACTGTTAGCCAAATTCCGTTACAAGTTTTTGTTTTGTACAAAAAAATGTTAATCGTTAATAGGAACAGTAACATTAGCTTAAGGCCTGATAATTATACTTTTCCTTTGTTGTTCAAGACTTGCGCTAGATTGGTGTTGCTTTATATGGGCCATGAGATTCTTGGACATGTTCAGAAAATGGGTTATGATTGTGATATATTTGTGCACAATACTTTGATACATTTCTTGGTGTCATGTGGGGAGTTGGATGCTGCAGGTAAAGTGTTTGGCGAAAATTCTATGAGGGACTTGGTTTCATGGAATTCCTTGGTCAATGGGTATGTTGAGAGTGGGAAAGTGAAGGATGCATTGAGGATGTATAAGAAAATGGAGAGGGAGAGGGATGTGAATCCTGACGAGGTTATTATGATTGGGATGGTTTCAGCGAGTGCTCAGTTGGAGGATTTGAGGCTTGGGAAAGAATTTCATCAATATATTCGAGAGAAAGGATTGAATATGAGCATCCCGATTGCTAGTGCTCTTATGGATATGTATGTGAAGTGTGGAGATCTTGAGGAAGCAAAGACATTGTTTGATAGAATGGGGGATAGGACCATGGTTAGTTGGACAACCATGGTAGTGGGGTATGCTAGATTTGGGTATTTGGATGCCGCTAGGAGACTTTTTTATGAGATGCCGGAGAAGGATGTTGGAATATTCCATCTCAACAGAACACACGGCCAGCACATGATCTTTTCCATCTCATCAGTTCACGTTCCCAACAGCTCACCGGCACGTTCCAGCTTCATCTAGATCCTTCTTCTGTTGTTATGTAGTTAGTTTGTTAGCTATATTTCTCTATAAATATACTAGTATGTAATGTAACTTCTTAAGTTGAATGAATGAAAATTCTTCCTCTTCCCTGCCATTTACAGCAGGTTCTATTATTTAATTTCTGCTGGTTTCAGCAGCTTTCATTTTGTTTCTGTTCATGATTTCTAAGATGGTATCAGAGCATAATGATGCTTCCGCTTCAGCTCAAATTTCATCAGATATTCCATCCAATTCCTGTCCGTTCAAGCATCTGAGATACCTCTTTATCTGTTCCTGGTTCATTTTCTGTTAATTCGTTTACTGCTGGTTCATGTTTTCTAATCTGTTATTGTTGGTTTGATCTTGCTGTGATCAGCTGGTTCTTCACATTCAGTATCCAGAATGGCCTGACCATGGAGTTCCGAAGGACACTACCTTCTTCATTCTCGTCATCCATGTGTTTGTTAAAATGCTTGCAGAGGCATAAAGTTGCACTGGTGGTTTTATTTGCTTCCTAGCTGGAGTTTTGTTTAGCATTTCCAGTCTTATTTTACTCATCAATGTTGATGAAGTTTTTCATTAGCAAATCCCCGATTTCAGAGCCATGGATACTCTTTCATTCCGGTTGAAGTATATTGCTGTCTTTCTCTCTGGAGTGCTTCTCTTTCGACCACAGGCTTCTCTCTTGCATCTCTACTTTTCCTCTACAGTTCAAGATGTTCCATCTTGAGGGGGGAGTGTTGGAATATTCCATCTCAACAGAACACACGGCCAGCACATGATCTTTTCCATCTCATCAGTTCACGTTCCCAACAGCTCACCGGCACGTTCCAGCTTCATCTAGATCCTTCTTCTGTTGTTATGTAGTTAGTTTGTTAGCTATATTTCTCTATAAATATAGTATGTAATGTAATTTCTTAAGTTGAATGAATGAAAATTCTTCCTCAACCCTGCCATTTACAGCAGGTTCTATTATTTAATTTCTGCTGGTTTCAGCAGCTTTCATTTTGTTTCTGTTCATGATTTCTAAGAGATGTTGTCCCTTGGAATGCATTGA